TTCTGTGCCATAACTTGTTGGAAGCATGACCTAATAACAGTATGTTGAGGACAATGGAGCAACCAGAGAACTTGATTAGCATTCCATTAGGAATTGTTAGAAGGGTATTTATGTTCCACGCAAGGACAATGGGCAATTATGTGCCAGTCCAGCAAGATCTCAAAAGTAAACAAGGAGGCTAAGGGTGAAATTCCATGATTAGCTACATTTATGGAACAATTGAAGAAATTTGTAACTCCTCATATCTCTCGATCCCCTGAACTCGTTGTCAGACTGACTAGTGGCATTAACATTCCTGTAAATCTTTAATATGCTGTTAAATTTCCACCAAGATTTAGCCTAAAAAGACACTTCGTTAGCTTAGAGTTGTGATAGCTGAACGGAGTTCCTTTTAAATAATTGTTTATCTTTCTTGCAGTTCACGTTACGTGTTCTGGGAGAGATGGTCCACTTGGTCCGAGGGAAGGGCAATCTGCCATCATGGGTTCTCCAGACTCTAATCAAACTTATTTTTTTGATGCTGAGCACTCTTCTGCTTGTCATTGTCCGAGTTCAGGTCATTCAGTCTCAGCTGCCAATTTTCACCAGGTAAACTATGTTTGACTTAATCACTTGACATAATTTGGGTGGAACTCAAATCCGGGGCCATAAATTTAAGAGAACCATGATAAGTCTGAGAAAGTTCTATGTGCAGAGAGTGGTGGAAATGTGAAACTCATTACCACTGGAGGTGCTCAAGGTCAGTAGCACAGACGCATTTGTAAGGAAGTGCATGAGGGAGAAAGAAATACAAAAATATTTCAATAGAATTCAATGCATGTGAGAGGAGGGTCATGAAACATAAAAACTAGTATGGATATTTTGGTTGAATCGTCTGTTTCTGTGCTGTAATTATGAGTGTTCTTTCATTTATACAACAGTTGCTCCTAGAAGCCTATTGCACCCTTGATAATGTTTGACTCAAACCAAAGCATTTCTATGTTTCTTCTGACCATTGAAGCCAATTTAGTGATTATTCTGATGATCTCTGGAGGGACGAATAAAAATTGTAGCCGACATTGTTCTTGCATGATGGTTCGCAACGTCTATTAAACCCCCTCTTCGTTTCTTTCATGTTCACGCCTGTGGCAAAATCTCTCCAGAATTGGAAGTCATAGGATAGCAATGAGAATTGTAATTTTTATCAGGCGAAGCTAAGTCAAAGTAAAAGGAATCACTTTCCAATTGCCTGCTGGTAGTTAGTGCTCTCTTCATTCACAGTCACCAGCAGAGGGAGCCGTACCATCTTCCAACAGATGTTGATAATGTGGTGGGCTTCGCTGTCCCTGCGTACAGTTAGGCATTATGTATTGGCATGTCAGTGGTGAGAACAGGGAAGATAACCCAGTGAAGGAGGGGAAATCTCTTATGAAAGTCTTGTGTTTCCTCAAACTTAAAGAGAAGAATTAAATCATGAGAGGTATGGATAGGTGCCTTTTCTCTGGGATGGGGAATTTCAAGGCTGGGAGGTATATTTTTAAGGTGAGAGGAGTGAGATTTTAAAAAAAAAAAGCCATTGGGGCAAATTTTTTATGCAAAGGGTAGTTTGTGTGTGGAATAAACTTCCTGAGGAAGTGGTGGATGCCGGCGCAGTTACAATGTTTAAAACACACTTAAATAAGTACATGAGTAGGAAATGTTTGGAGGGATATGGGCCAGAAGCAGGCAGGTGGAACTAGTTTTGTTTGGGATTATGTTTGGCTTGGACTGAAGGGTCTGTTTCTGTGCTGTATGACTCTATAATAGAAGATTAAGGGTGGTTTAATTGATGAGTTTCAAGATAATTAACAGAATTTTTAGGATGAATAGTGTGGTTTATTTTTAATTCTTGTGGAGGATTCCAGAACAACAGAGCACAATCTTAAAATTAGACTCAGGCCATTCTGGGTAATAGCAGAAACAGCTTCTTCACGCACAGGGTAGTGGATATTTGTAACCCTTCCCTCCCTCCCCCACCTGCCAAAAAGAAATCAAATGAGGTTAGTTTCTGCATCTATTTTGGTTGAGTCACCATCACAGGCTAACACATATTCTGTTGAAAGATGAAGAATTAGCACCAAGTCAGCCTGATGGGACCTCGTAGAGTGATAATTTAAAAAGACATATAAACTGAAGTATGGGTCTTGAAGATTTCAAATTTGTTTCCTTCAGCAGCTTGGTCAGCTGTGTAGCTCTAAGATTGTGGATACGCTGTCTTAGGAATAAGTGTTGTTGTGGCCTGGGTGGATGATCTCATGTTTTGTCAATTCCCAGCAGTCCATTCCATATATTAAAAAATGTGATAAGTTTATTTTATTTTTCCTCCCTCGTTGTAGTGATTCCCATTTAACAACTGAAAATGTTAGGTTTTTGTTGCGTAGGAGTATTCTGATGAGGAAATCAAGGTGTGGAAACAAAATTTAAGATGTGGTTCAATCTAATGAATAATGGTGTATTTAAGTGACTTGTTTGTTACTGTTGATCAATCATCTTAATTCAAAGCAGACCATTGGACAGTGCAGAGCAGGATGTGTTGGTTAGTATTTTATCAAACATGTACAAATTGCTGATTCCAGGAGTGGTGCCACTCGCATGGATCAGTCAAGTGAGTTCTATTCATTCGAGATTAGGTCACTAAATTGAATACATTGTTAAAAAGAGGCATGCTGTTTGAATTGGATAGTGAATCTGGAATTCTTTCGTGCAGAGGGCTGGGTTGTTATTGTTTTTTGTAGACTGATTTTTAATCAGTGATTCGAGGATTATGGGGAAAAGGCAGCAAAGTGGAGTTGAGAATTATTAGATCAGCTATAATCTCATTGAATGGCGGAGCAGACTCAATGGGCTAAATGGCCTACTTTTTGCTATTTGTCCTGTGGTCTTAATGCCCCTTGACATGGCAGTAGCATTCCCATACCTGAATTGCTGGAGGTTACCATTGACCAGAAACTGAACCAGACTGGCCGTATAAATAACATGGCTACAAAAGCACATCAGAGTTCAGGAACCTGTAACTACCATCTGACTCCTCAAAGTTTGTCCACTGCCTGCAATTCACAAGTCAGGGGTGTGATGGGATACTCCCTTCTTGGATGAATATAGCTCCAAAACATTCAAGAATCCTGACAACATCCAGGACAAAGCTGGATTGGCACCACAACATTCACCCATTCCATCATTGACACACAGTAGCATCAATCCTTACAATTCACAAGATGTACTGCAGAAATTCGCCGAAGTTCCTTGGGTAACATCTTCCAAACCTATGACCTCTCTACCATCTAGAAGGACAAGGGCAGCAGAAACATGGGAACACATCACCTGCAAGTTCCCCTGCAAGTCACTCACCATCCTGACTTGGAAATTTATCGCCTTTCCTTCATTGTCACTGAGTAAGATTCTTGGTATTTCCTCCTGAATGGCTTTGTGACTCTACCTACACCAAATGGGCAATAAATGCTGGCCCAGCCAGCATTGCTCGCGCCCCATCAGTGAATTAAAAGAAGCAAGTGGCCTGTTTCCGTATCTTTTGTCCTGTGAAATCCAGTGTTGTATCATCTTTCCATCACTTTAAATTTTTGTAGTATGTAAATATGATGTATTTCAATACTATCATATTCTTGTAGTTTCAGCTATCCAAATAAAACTCTTGATTTACCAACAGAGGAGATGCCCTGATATTTAAAGGTGTGGTTAAAAAGACTTCAGTTATTTTATGAAAAAAAATTATTTGGTCAGTTGATGGTGCTGTGGAGTTTTCAAATTGTACAGTTCACAAAACAATGCTGTCTTATTGCTCACTCAGGTGAATCTAGCACACATTTATGGAAGTCATATCTTGATTTGTATACTGAAACTTGCAAAATGGAAGTGTAGCTTATAATGTCCAAAATGTTTAAATATTCCAAATGAGCCATTAGGCAATGAAATATTATTTTTTCAAAAATGCACAGTCTTGAGAATCAGCTTTTTCATGCTTGGGGGCAGAATCATGTGCTCCTGGAGATGGTGAGTTTAGAGGCAGGAAGGGCATTTAATTGTGTGTAGTGGTGGTGGTATTTTGAAATCCTGCCTTCCTTGCTTCACACCTTTGCCTTCAGTTCACACTGTTGGCATTGACCCAATCACAGATGGGTCTGTCATCATGTGACCTGAGGTTTACAGCTGCAGGTCCCTGGTCACCCGAGGACTGGGGGTTGGTGATTAAAGCTAATCAGTGCCTAATTGAGACGGTGGACAGGGCAGGATTATGTCCACTACAAACCAACCCCCTGCCCTTGCTTTGAACCTTCCTGTCGCCATCTCCCACACTGGCCTCAATCCTAGAAACACTCCTCCTCATTGCCACCACACACGCGTGTGCGCACAGTCACAGATGCACACGCACACAGACACACACCACTTAACTTACTCCTTGGTCTTCTGCAATTGTGGATGCTCTTCCAATAGCAGACCCCATCAATTCTGAGGTGTTCCCAACTACAAGACCAGAGGTCTGCAGGTCTTGCTGAACGGAATGTCCAGGCTTTTCACTCTAAGCAAAAGTGCAACTCTATTCTCCCTAATGTCTGATTGTCATTAGATTTGGTGGTCCTTCCCTCGAAGATGCAATGGGGTAATGTTTGTCGGCTTTTTAAAAACGTTTGTTGACAAGATGTGATCATAAGACCATAAGAACAGGAGTAAGTCCTTTAGCGTCTCAAGTCTGTATCATCATTCAATAGGATCAGGGCTAATCTGACATTTCTCACGTCCACTTTCCTGCCCTTTCCCCATGAGCCTTGATTTCCCTACTGGTCAAGAATCTGTCTATCTCAGCCTTAAATATATGTAAGGGCTCTGCCCCCCACAGCTGTTTGTGGCAAAGAATTTCAAAGACACTGAACCATATGGGACGAAATTCCTCCTCATGTCAGTCTTAAATTGGCACTTCTTTATTCTGAGACAATGCACTCCTGTCCTAGGCTCTCCCATGAGGGAAAATATCCTTAGTATTTTTGCTGTCAAATCCCTTGAGAATCTCATGTTTCAATGAGATAACCTTTCATTCTTCCAAAATCCACTCAATAGAGTCTCAACCTGCTTAACCTTTTATTCATAAGATAATCCCTCCATATCAGGGATCTCCTTATTGAATCTTCTTTGAACTGCCTGCGGTGAAATATCATTACTTCAATAATGGGACCAAAACTGCTCACAGTACTCCAGATATGGACTCACCAGCACCTTGTACAATTGCAGGAAGACTTCCCTACTGTTATACTCCAACCAACCTGTTGAAATAAGGACCAGCGTTCCATTAGCCCTCCTGATTGTCTGCTGCAGCAGTGCGCTGCCTTTGCGTTTCCTGCACAAATACCCCAAGTCCTTTTGTGTTGCAGTTTTCTTCTATTTAAATAGTATTCTGTTATTTTATTCTGGCTGGGCCAGCATTTATTGCCCGGAGATCAGTTAAGTGTCCCACATTGTAGAGTCACATATTGGCCAGACCAGGTCGGGATGACGGATTTCCTTTAAATCATAGAATCCATACAGTGAAGATAGAGGCCATCTTAAAGGACATCAGTGAACCTGATGGGTTTTGTCAACAATCTACAGTGTCTTTGTGCCAGATCTTCCATATTTTTACTGAATTCACATTCCACCATCTGTCATGGCTGGATTTGAACCGGGGGCCCCATCACATTACCTGGGTGTCTGGATTAATAATTTAACGATAATACCATTAGGCCATCACTACCCTAAGACTCCTGCTGTGTCAGCAATCTTCACAAGATTTTGTTTCCAAATAGAAAATTGCGGGCTCAAGCGTCACTCTGGGCAGATGAGTGACTGTAGTGCTGAAAGAGTGAGGTACTTTGTCTAATGCCTTCTGGAATTCCCAATACAATTATCGGACATACCAATCTTTATCTGAGGCACTTGGCCAGGTCTATCTTTTTAGGGAAATTCCAGATGATCCTATGGCACCGATGGAAGAGAAGGACTGATTGATCTGCTGTCCCAACTAATACTTGCCAGCCAATCAATGCACACAAATGATCAATCAACAGGTTACATATCTTCACCCCACATGGTACTTGTTTCGACAAAACAAATCATTGAGTTTCCTGAATAATTCAAATATGTGTACTCGAATGTTGAAAGGCTTCAAAAAACTTGATGAGGCATTCTCCATCTAGGTCCTAAATTCTTCAATTCTCTCTCTAAACAGTGTTATCTGAGTTCCAAGGGTTAGATTGTGAAGAGAGATTACGTCAGGTACAACTTCACTTGTTATGAAGCGAAGTTTGGCACTGACCCAATTAGGAAACAACATGGCACCTGGCCAAAAGATTAGCTTTGAGTTTGGCTTAAAGAGCAAATGAGAGGCAGAGAGGTTTGGGAAGGGACCACTAGAGCTTGTTTTTTGACAACTGAAGGCAATTATGGGTGAAGCAAATGCAATGGGGGTATTCAAGAGTGAGAATTGCTGGTATCTCAGCATTGTAGGGCTGAGGAAGCTTAGAGACATAAGGTGAGGTTATCAAAGGATTTGAAATGAAAGATGAGAATTTTAAAGTTGAGACCTTGCATAATTGTGGGAGCCAATGTAGGTTGCTGAATCAGACATATTCCCTGGAACATAGAAGAGTAAAAAAAACACTTTATTGATGTTTTCAAATGAACTGGTAAGATGGGTCAAGAGAAACTGTTCCATGCAGGACAAGAGAATGTAGCTGTAAAATTAGTGCCAGGCATTCAGGTGAAGATCTACAAACACTTCTTCACACAAGGCAGAGAAGATAGTAGTTGAATCTGTCTTCCACAAAGAGCATTTTAAATCTGAGATTTTTGCCAACGTATATGTGGTTAGGGAGCCAAGGAATATGAATGGAGTTAAGAAACAAGTTGCACATGATTCACCAAATTTCAGATCAGGCTTAAATACCATAAGAAGAGGAGTACGCTGTTCAGCCCCTCAATCCTGCTCTGCCGTTCAATAGGATCGTGGCTGATCCAACATTACTTGAGTCCTACTTTCTTGTTTTTACCCTACAAACCTTCAATTCCCTTACTGATCAAGAATCTATCTACCTCAGCTGTAAATATACATAAGGACTCTGCCTCCCCAAAGCTGTCTATGACAAGAAGTTCAAAAGACACTCAATGCTTTGAGAGAAGAAATTCCTCCTCCACTTGGTCTTAAATTGGTACCCTTCTGAGACTATGCCCTCTGGTCCTAGACTCTCCCATGAGGGGAAATATCCTCTCGGCATTTACCCTGTCAATCCCCTTAAGAATCTCATATGTTTCAATGAGATCACCTCTCATTCTACTGAACTCCAGTGAGTCGAGACTCCAGCTGTTTAACCTTTGCTCATGAGGCAATCCTTCCATACTGGGCATCATCGTAATGAATCTTCTCTAATCTGCCTCGAATGAATTATATTTTCCCTTTAGTAATGGGACCAAAACTGGTCACAGTGCTCCAGATGTTACCCTCCAACCAACCTCCTTGAAATAAAAGCCAACATTCCAATGGCCTTCCTGATTATTTGCTGCATCAGTGTGCTAGTTTTCTGTTTCATGCACAAATGCCCCAAGTCCTTTTGTGTTTCAACTTCCTGCAGTTTTTCTCCATTTCAATAATATTCTGTTCTTTTGTTCTCCCTTCCTAAATGAGCAACTTCACATTTTCCCACACTATACTTCATTTGCCAACGTTTTGCCCATTTACTTAACCTATCAATTTTTTTTGTAAACTTCTTTGTGTACCCCTTGCAATTTTCCTTTTCACCTCTTTTTGTGCTTTTTGCAAATTTAGCTGCTCTACATTCACTTTCTTCCTCCAAGTCATTAATATATATTGTAAATATTGTAAACAGTTGCATTTCCAGCACTGTTCCCTGTGGAACACTGGTTACAGGTTGCCAACCTGAAAAATAACCCCTTGTCCCCACTTTGTTTCCTGCCCATTAGCCAATTCTCCATCCGCACTAACACAATACCTCCAAAATAGAGGCTCTTATCTTAAGACTTAATCTTTTGTGAAGTACTTTGTCTAATACCTTCTGGAATTCCCAATACAATACACCTACTGGTTTCCCCTCTATCCACTCTGGTTGAGACTTCCTCAAAATGCTCCAATAAATTGGTCAGATATGATTTCCATTTTGTGAAGCCATGCTGACTCTGCATGATTAGATTGCAATTTTCTAATGTGTTGCGATTATTTCCTTTATCATGGATGCCAATATTTTTCCAATATTAGATGTTAGGCTAATTGGCCTAAAGGACTTTTCCTCCTTTAAGTCCTCTTTATTACCTTGAAACTGTTGATCACCGGTGCTAATATTTCCTTGTGACTTAGTTTGAAATTTTATTGGCTAATACTTCTATAAGCACCTCTAGGCATTTTACAGTGTTAAAGATGCAGAATAGTTGTAAGCTTTCTTAGATGGATGCAAGGTTTTATTTTTGGAGTTTGCCAGTAATGTAATTTATCTATTGCAGGTTTGATAATCCAGCTGCTGTCAGTCCAAGCCCTGTAAGGCAGCTCACGTTCAACTACCTCTTGCCCCTGAATGGTTGGCTTCTCCTGAACCCATCAGAATTGTGCTGTGACTGGACAATGGGCACTGTTCCATTAGTGGAATCATTCTTCGATATTCGAAACCTCGCCACAGTCATTTTCTACTGTTTAATGGTTCTACTGATACATTATAGTCTTCGCTATCCTGGAGAATCATCCCAAGTTGTAATAATGGTAAGAGCAGCTGCAGAAGCTGGCCTGCTAGTTGCTGTACACAATTAAAAAGAGAGTTTTCCACTGGCAATGACCAAAGGATACAGGTTAGAGGAAATTGACAAGAGAATCAGACTAAGGAGAAGATAAGAATTGTTTATTGCAGCAACTTATGATTTGTAGTATGTTACCTGCAAAGGTAACGGAAACAGATTCAGTCATAATTTTTGAGCTGGCATTGGATACGGAAACGGGAGAGATGCAAGGTTATGGGAGTAAATGTATAGTTTTCAAAGAGCTGACGCAGGCACGGTAAGTCGTCTTGTGTTGTATGATTCCATGATAACCGCTGCAAAATGTGTTTGTACAAATTTGGGTGTGGTACTACTTTGCTGTAATGTGAAGTATGAGGGTTATGCACTTTGGCAGGAAGAATAGAGGAACTGAATGTTATTTAAATGGACAAATACTGCAGAAAGCTATGGAAGAGAATCCACATCCACGAATCATGAAAAACTTGCATCCAAGTTCAGGTAATTGGGAAGACAAATGGAATGTTGGCCTTTATTTCAAAGGGAATGGAGTATAAAAGGAGGGTGGCACAAGTCAGACTACAGCTGGAATACTATGAACAATTTTGGGCCCATTATCTAAATAGATATATACTGGTGCTGGAAACAATCTGGAGAAGGCTCACTAGGCTGATATCCGGTATGGAGGGATTGTTATGAGAAGAGGTTGTGTGGATGGGGCCTGCGCTTGTTGGAATATAAAAGAATGAGGGGCGAACTTAATGAAACATACAAGATTCTTGGGGGACTACATGGCGTACATATGGACAGACTGTTTCCTCTTGTAGAAGAGTGTAGGACCAGAGGGCATAGTCTCAGATTAAGAGGTTTCACATTTAAGGTAGATGAAGAACTTCTTCTCTGAGGTCAGTAAATCTGTGGAATTCTCTACTATGGAGGGCTGCTGAGGTTGGGCTGTTGCATATATTCCAGGCTGAGAGGGACAAATTTTTAATCAGTAAGGGAATTAAGTGTTCAGGGGAAAAGGCAGAAAAGTGGAGTTGAGAATTATCAATGAGATCAGCCATGTGAAGTATGAGGTTATGCACTGAATGTTTGGATTATTTAGCCATTCTTCTGACAGACTGAAAAATGCAGGGAGATGTTTGCAAGAAGTACTTGAAAGATATTCGTACAGTATTTCATGACATGTTTTCACTAACCATTTATTAATTGTTCCACTGAAATCTTCGAAGAACTGTTATTTCCTGCTGAGCTTAAATGAACGTCCATTATAATTAAGAAATACTTTGCAAACATCTCCCAAGACCTCAGTTAATCCACATTCCTTTCACGATCAGAAGCAACCTCTATTTCAACAGAAATATTTAACTTCAACAAGCGTCCCAAGCCAGTTAGCAGAATAATTGCTTGTTAAACTGATGCCTAAACTTTAAAGGCTAGGAATGTGCCAGTGGGTTGCAGGCAAGGAACTCCAGAGGGTTTAACACCTCCCAACAGTGAGACAAAAGGAAAAGGAGTTGAAAACAAATGGCAGATAATTCAAGATCTTTTTGGATCATCCAGCCTGCTCCCGACCATTGCCCTGCTTTTTTATTTATTGTGGCCATTTGGATGTTCGAAAAGAGGATTCTGGTGCAGTGGGAGTGAATTAGACCAATGGATGGTGATAGAATTAGTATGTGGTTAGAGTGCCGAAGGAGCCCATCCCAGCGCTCTCTCTCCCGGACAATTTAGCTAATCTTATTCTTCTGTCCTTTCCCTGTAATCTGCAATTTGTTTTTCCACCATTGGCTTATCTGTTTCCCTTTTGGAAGGTTTCAGTTTGAATCTTGCCCTGCAGCCAGTACGTGAAGAAAATTTATTTCTGTCGTCTCTTTTTGAACCTCTCATGACTTTGAGTACCTCCATTAAATCTCAGATTTCATTGCTCTAATATGAGCTGGATTTAGATTTCCCAGAATAGCTCAAATCTCTGAGGCCATTGAAGGTGGGAAAATTTCCACTTTAGGAACATTGAGGTATGTTGTTTGAACGATATACATGCAGTTTTGTTCTACATCTGAATGCATTCTCTTAGTTTTGAGAATTAACTATTGTATAACACTGACTGCACTTCAGAGGTTCTTCATTAGCTGTATAGGACTTTGGAGCACACTGAGATCGTGAAAGGTGTTACATAGTTCTAAGTTTGTTGTTCTGTTCTATCCTTGAGCGGAATGCAGGTTCCTAAAATGAAAATATGTTCATTCATCACCTTTACCAGGAAATTGAATAGATTTCTTCTGTTTAAAATGGCTACTGTGCATGTTTCATTTGGCACAGTTTCCAGTTTTTTAATCTTTCAATCTTGACTCAATCCCTCAGCCTACCCCCATGATTTGGTATGCTAGTTAGTTAGATGGGAGGGAGAGATGAAGGGCAGACAGATGTGCAATAATATGATATGAACCGGTGTGAATGGTGCAGCAGTGCTTGTATATCTAGTTTTGTCAGTGGCTTTGCTGTTCCCATTTCTTCCAGCCCTACATCTGTCCAGGGTCCCTGCGATCTACTAATTCTGGTCTCTTACACAAACTGTGCTTTCACTTGCCGAAAGCAATAAATTCTGGAATTCACTTGCCATGTTTATCCGCCTCTTCCTCTGTTTTTCTTCCCTTCCTTGAAGTCACTATTTAGAACCTAGCTTTTTAAGAGCTTTTTGGTCACTTGTCCTAATAGCTCTTTCTGTAGCTGGATCCAATATTGTATGGTTTATGCTGCTGCAAAACATCTTGGATCATCTACGTTAAAAGTATTGTATAAGTGCAAGTTGCTGTAATTTTATGTGCCTGTTTTGTTTGGAGCTACTTGTGTCTGATTAAGAATTGAGGTCATTTGAAGTAGTGTCCAATCCTGCTAACATAGCAAGTTCAGTCTAGTCTGGCTGATATGAGAGACACTTATTCTGACTAAAATACTTCACCAAGTCACCTGATTGTAAAACAACCAGAGAAACAAAGGATAATTAGCACTACCTCTTCCAGAGAACCAAAAAACACACAATTGTAGTGTGTTCCACAGCTATAAACTGTGATTGTAAGAACTGCGGATGCTGGAGTCAGAGATAACACAGTGTGGAGCTGGAGGAACACAGCAGGCCAGGCAGCATTAGAGGAGCAGGAAAGTTGGTGTTTTGGGTCGGGACCCTTCTGAAGAAGTTTTGCGCAAAGTTTGAAACAGGGAAAACTAAACCTGCAAGATAAGCAGTGGAATAAATATTTAAAAAAAGTTTCTGTTGTAATATTTTCAGTTTTTAACAATTGATTTTAACGTTTAATTGTAAAATTTGCATGTTGGTTGCTTTTTTTATTTGTTGATGGGAGTTGGGCATAATTGGCTGGACCATCATTTATTGCCAGCTTCTAATTGCCCAAAGGGCAGTTATGAGTCAACCACGTTGCTGAGCATCTGGAGTCACGTGGACCAGTGCAGGTTAGGACAGTAGATTTACTTCCCTAAAGGACTTTCGTGAATCAAGTAGGATTTTACGACATTTGACCAAGGTTACGTGGCTGTGAGCTCTTCATTCTAGATTTTTAGAGTTCAAATTTCATTATGTGGCCTAGCGGGATTTGAACCCATGTCCCCAGAACATTAGCCTGACATGCTGACATAACCACAATGTGACTGTCTACCCATTCTCTTTCATTTCAGTATTATTATTGAAAAGGCAGATGAGGTGAAGTCTTGCATTGATGAGGTGAAGTCTTGCATTAATGAGGAGTCTTTCTTGAGTTTACATCTCCCCACCATCCTCACTCTGCGAGACTTTTTTTTCAGACTTTTTCACCACTTCATTTTGATCTACACCCTCAACCAGCAGTAGTTGTGACATGACTTGTGTTCTTTCACACACAGTGCTCAATAAAGTCTTGTAAAACTGCTTATTGTTTATCATCTAATTCTACATGTGGCTCAAACAATGCTCTTTCTTTCCAGGCACTTTCTTTCATGGTGTTACCATTCATTCCGGCATCAAACTTGTTCTTCCCTGTTGGCTTTGTGGTGGCAGAGCGTGTGCTTTATGTTCCGAGCATGGGGTTTTGTTTGCTGGTTGCCCATGGATGGAAGAAGATAGCAGATACATGGTATTGTTATAATTATGTTGGATCCTTGTACTCATTCACTTAAGTGTTCAGTGTGCAGAATGTTCTGCATTGATTGTTAACAGTATAATGAAAATAGAATTGGGAGCATCGCTTAATTCTAACTAATTTCTGAGGGACTGTAATTGAAAAGCACCTTAAATTTTATAGAGCAAAGGCAAAAATTGCTGGAGAAACTCAACAGGTCTGGCAGCATCTGTGGAGACAGAGCAGAGTTAACGTTTTGATTCCAGTGAGCTGCCTTCAGAACTGGACCCAAAATATTAACTGCTGTCTCTCCACAGATACTGCCAGATCTGCTGAGTTTTTCCAGCAATTTCTGTTTTTGTCCCAGACCTTCAGCATCCACAGTTCTTTTATTTTATTGTGCCTGGAAACCTGGTTAAATCCATAGTTATTGTGCACAGCTTTGATCTCTATATTATACAAGGGATGGGGAGATGGTTCAAAGAGTGTCAAGCCAAAACTGCCAAATTATCCCTGTCAAAAAAACTGGAACAGGCTGATTCTCTCCTAAAGAAGAGAAAAGTTAGTGATGATCTTTAGCACCATGTAGAGATTTGATTTGACAGATAAAAATGAGATCTTTCCACATATTGGGGTTTGTGGTGTGTCCAGACTATGATGCACAAATAAACGATAGTCATTAATAAATACAATAAAACATTCAGGATAAGTTCTTGACTCATAAGTAATTGAGGCACATGGCATAGATGCATTTGAAGTGGAGCTGGATGAATGCATTCATGTGAAAAACATAGGAGGCCTGATACAATTAGAAGTAGAGGATTTGGGAAACTCATGTGGAGCAGAAGCACAGGTGTAGACCAATTGGACCAAATGGCTTATTTTCAATGCTGTACATTCTACCTAATTCTCGATGTGTTTGTCCATTACCTTCTATGGCTTTATGTCCTGCTGCCCTCTAGAACCACCCACAGCCAGGGCTCCCACCTGACTCTGCTGTTCTTCTGACTTGGATCTTCTGATTCAGTTATGCAAAACCCTGTTTAACCCACTTCCCGTACTGAGAGCAGGTCTGGGTATCACTCACCATAGGAAGGATATGTTGGCCTTGAAGGAAGTACATAATAAGTTCACAAGAAGGACACCTGCACTGCAGGAGTTAAGTTATGAGGAAAGATTGTACGAATGAGACTTGTTATCTCAAGAATTTAGAAAGTTAAGGAGTGATCTGATGGAAGTCTTCAAGATATTAACAGGAAAAGACAGAATAGATAAAGAGGAACTGTTTTCAGTGGTTGGGGATACTAGAACTAGGGGACATGGTCTGACCGTAATTCTCAGACTATTTATGAGAGATGTTAGGAAGCACTTCTACACAGAAAGGGTGGTAGAGGCTTGGAACTGTCTTCCTCAAATGGCAGTTAATACTTGATCAGTTGTTAGTTTTACAGCTGAGTTAAATTTGTAAGCAAAGAAATTAAGGGATATGGACCAAAAGCATTTTAATGAAGTTAGACCACAGATTGGCCATGATCTCATTAATTGGCAAAACAAGCTTGAGGGGCTAAATGGCCTACTTCTGTTCCTGTGATCCAGATTTCTCCTCATCCCCCGAATAAAAGCAAAATCCTGTGAATGCTTTAAAGCTGAAATAAAAACAAAAAGTACAGGAGAAACTCAGTAGGTCTGGCAGCATCTGTGAAGAGAGAAACGAGTAAACATTTCAAGTCTGTTATGACTTCAGCTGAGCTAAATAATGCCATATTTTAGTGTTCTGTGTATCCCCTTCCAGATGAATTTAAATGATCCCGCACCCACTATTAAATGAATAGAGTTCTTGGTGCTCTAGCCGACATTTATCTCTCAACTACTATTAATAGAACGCATAGTCAATTGATTTATCTTGTTTGTTTCTGGCACCCTGCAGTGTACAAAATGTCTGCCGTGTTTGCTAGAACTCATTAGTAAATACATTTCAATTCCGAGCTTGATCAAGGTGAGTGGTTATCATGAACACGGAGGAAATGTTTTATGGATATCCTCAAAGCGTCCCTGCAAATATGCAATGTCCTCATTAACTCGGCTGAATCTTTTGCCCCGTTCCATCCAAATTAGATAAGAAGCATCCATGACGGAGCCGTACATTTTGGTAGTTTCCAACAAACCCAGATGGAGGCAAGTGCACACTGGAGTACTCGGAAATCTGTATCCATGTTGGGGCGCCATAATTTTTGTGTTTTCATGTGCAATGTCATTGTAATTCAATACATTTGGTCCAAACCTCAACCAGCATACAGAATTAATGCTTGGTTCAGAGGTGAAAGGTCGAATCTTATGAATGGGAATTGGATAAGTACTTGAGGGAGAGAAAATTGCACGACTATGGGAAAAGAACGGGGGAAGGGACTAATTGGATAGCTATTTCAGAGGTAACATGGGCAGAATGGTCTCCTGTGCAGTGTGGTTGATGTGTTTTGATGAATCTTGCAACAACCGATGCATCTTTCTACTAATACCGCTCATGCAGAGTAATAAAAATTAAGGATTGACTTGTTAACATGATTTGGATTTTAAAAGCATTATTCTATTATAGATGTGAGGGTCACCAGTGACATTCCTGCTACACCATCATCTCCCCTATGAGTCAACTTAGCTGCTAACATTTTGGCAGGGCAGTTTTCTTCAGTGTTTACACTACTTGGTTAAAGATTAGGAGCTGCCAATATCTGATGAACCAAAATTTGGCATAACAACTAAATTTGTATGGATTGTTTTCTTTAGACCATGGACAAGGATATATATGTTGCTTCCTAATCTGCGACTTAAATCAACTAAATTGAACAAACAACTTAATTCTGGTTTCCTTATTCTGAGAGAACACAATTAACTCAGTTGTTTTTATTATTGATTCTTTGATGGTATGTGGGTATCACAGGTAAAGGCAGGCATTTGTTGCTCATAGTTAATTGTCCTTGACTGTGTTGTGGGCTTGATATGGGCATTTCAGAAGGTATGTAGGGCAGGATAGGTGAACACAGCATTATTGAATCAGCCTCGCTTTTATGACAATCAGTGATAGTTGTCATGGTCACCATTACTGAGATTCAGTTTCAGTTGCAGTTTTACTAAGTCAGTTTAAATTCCCACCAGCTGCCATAAGCATTAGCCCAGGCCTCTCGGTTAATGGTCCAATGACGTTACCCTTCTGCCACCGTCTCACCAGAATTGTTTTTGTTAGGTACCTTACGTTCTTCAGAATTTAACATTGAGTTTAACAATTTCAGAACATGAATGTACTCCTCTGTTTGTTACCCACACCCTAAGGTTGTGTTTTGTATGGATTGCTCCCAGCACGACCAAAGTATCTTCAACCATTTGCACTCCTCGTTAGCACCCTACCTAGCACCTTGCCGATGATAAATCGAGAGAAAGCTAGCTCTTTATTTGCTGATCCATTTGTTTTGTCTGCTTTCCCTGACCCCTCTTTCCATATACTGTATTCACTCCCCCATCAGCAGAAATGCCACCGATTTCCAGCTATTCTCAGTTCTAACAAAGGGTCACTGGACTTGAAACTCTGTTTTTCTGTCAACAGATGCTGCCAGGCTCGCTGAGTTCCTCCAGCACTTTTCTGTTTTTGTTTCACCAGAGTTGTTACTGTACAGAACGATGCATTTTATGACAACTCCATCACTTGCTTTGTAATCATGACATTTGAAGCAGAGACGACTGATGGGGGTGTAAGTTGAAGTTTGCAAAGTTGTGAGGGACACATAGGGTGAATAGAGAGAAACTTTTCCCCTTAGTAGAGGGATCAGTTGCAGTTTTAAAGTAAAGAGTAAGTGTTTTAGAGGGGATTTGAGGAAAAACCTTTTACCCAGATGTGGTGGGTATCTGGAATTAACCACCTGAAAGTATGATAAAGGCAGGAACTACCAAGACATTTAAGAAGTATTTAGATGAGCACTTGAAACACCATACCATGCAAGGCTATAGTCCCGACGCTGGAAAATGGCATGAGAATAGATAGATGCTTCATGAATGGTATGGTCATGATGGGCTGAAGGACTTTTATCCAAACTAAAAGCCCCATGATTATTTATAATGTTTGATTGTTTTGTTCCAAAGGGCAATAAAAACTCTGTTTATGTATCACTTCAATGTAATAAAACATCCCATGGATTTAAGCATCCTTTCAAAGAAGTTATCAAACAAAATTTGAGCTCAAGCTGAGAGAGACATTAACACAGATGACACCAAGCTCCAACATAGAGGAGGGTTTTATGGAGTGTGAATAAAGGAGTGGAGAGAAGTAGAGAGACAGATACAACGCAGCGTGGAGCTGGAGGAACACAGCAGGTCAGGCAGCATTAGAGGAATAGGAAAGTCGACGTTTCGGGTCCAGACCTTCCATCAGAACTCGGCAAGAGACAGATACTCTGGGACAAAATTCTTAATATAGGGCCAGGCAGCTGAAAGTACTCAGGTCATAGCAATGGGTTTTATTTTGAATGTCGTCACTGGGGCGTCATGGCCCTTGGTTTGAGTTGACCTGCCTATTTCAGTACTTGCTGTCTGCCAGCTGCTTCAGTCAAAGTAAACAGCAACTTTTGGAGAGCCCAAGAAGCCTTCTGTATTCAAAACTGACCTTTCCTAACAGTGGGAAATTATAATTTTAAAGAAATCATTCAGATTGGATAAATTGCATTGTAACATCTGTTTTCTTAAAATACCAGAAAAAGTTCTTTTTATTTATTTATCAGATGTGGAGTTGGCTTTCATTTATTGCCTATGCAAAGTTGTCCTTCTGAAGATGACACTAAACTGCCTTTTGATCTGCTGCACACCATTTGCCATAGGTAGAGGTACAGTGTCATTAGGGAGGGAGTTTCAGAATTTCTATCCAGTGACGTTGAAGGAACAGCGATGTATTTCCAAGTCAGATTTTGAGTGGCTTGGAGTGCAACTTGCAAATGCATCGCTGCTGTTGATCTTCAGTATGGTAGCGGTCATGG